ACTGAAACGAGGAGACAACAGGTCAGTGTTTGCAAAACGACAGAATAAACCGTTCTCGGACTGAGTTAATCTTTCAGGCTAAAACAATCTCTAGAAAATCATAGGATGGTCAGTTTATTTTGTGAAGATACATCAAAGTGCGAAATGTGATTTGATCTCTTCAAATGGTGTGGATAGACTCCGAAACATGTCAGAAGTAAAGATTGCGTAATCAAGTTCGTCGAGTAACACAATGCAAAGTCTTGTGCAGGAACATTTAAGGCCCCTACTTTTCTACAAGAACAAAAACAGAAGGAAAAACCAGCGGAAGAATGTGTATTCAAGACTCATTTGACAAAAATTAATCACAAGCTTCGAAAAATGTAGCACATGTAAATTGTCTAATCGTGTATATATTTAACTCCACAATGAAGGTCATTTGATCGAAATGACAGACATGCTAGAGGCTAGATACTAAATTCGGTCAAGAACAATTGTATATGAACATTCGGGGCAAAGGCGATTTTCGTGCGGGCAAACGATATCACAAACATTTAAACAATGCGGCTTAACAAGCCAGGTTGGTTTCGGTACGCCCATTGTATCTTGAAGCGAATTTGTCAGTTCTGGATATGACTCTCAAACGTAAATTGTTAGAATTTTTTTGTGTTCTAAGCGATTTTAATCCTCGATCGTTGTGAAGAATTGTAACACTATTTAATTTCACTTCCGCCATGCCAGGTAAGCATGCTTTAATCGCGTGACTGCATGTTCAAGGCTTGATGTACTGTCAGAAAGGACTTGGGCTGTGGTGTACTTTATTGGATCACGAAGATTATGATTCGAATGTCGAGCTTTATTAAAAAATTCCGCGCATCTGTTTTAAAAAGGCTGGTACTGCATAGGCCTTTGCAATTTCTAATACAGACTTGAAAAATTGGCTTACGCTGAATTATTAAAAGGAGAATTTTAAGCATTTGTCTCAAGCATTGAGCAAAGAGATCATGCTTAATTCTCAATCAGGCTTAAAACTTGCTCAGTTCGTTTCAATCGCAGCTGGTTGCCTAATCACCTGAGAATTTAAAACAAAGAGTTCGTGGTCAAAGACGTCATAAGCTAACTCAGTCCATATTTGGTAAGCGTTCTGCATTTCTCTGGCATTATAAATCACGGATGTCACAAGTATGGTTTTTGTTTCGTTAAGCTGTCGAAGACAGCTCTCATGAAAAGGGAACACGTAGAGGAAGAACTTTAAAACGAAAATGTTTTTGAAGGAAAAAAAGGAAAAGGGATTCGATTCTCTTGTAATTCTCAGGTAAACTCTCGAATGATATAGCTTTGACAGGATTCGCATAATCCGAACTGGGACGGTAGCAAGCATTTATAAAACGAGTTAGCTTTACGTGCCTAAAGCCGAGTGCTGAGCTAATTGGATGTCACATGTAATGGCAGGTATAGACTGGCAGGCGATCATCGAAAAATATATATAAACAAAATGAAATTTAAGATCTGCAGAGGTCGTAAAAAGACCGTGAGGAATGCGAAATTTTTACCCCTCAAGCGGTCTTTTCCAGGCGAGATAAAAGAGAGCTCGTCTACCATGTCCATAAGAGTAAGGGCTCTCTACGGCTAGAGAGGGCCATCTGGTTAATTCATTCAGCGCAAATGTCGTGTAGTCCTGCATAGGGCTTTCCCATCACTTACTATGGAGGATAAATACAAAGAAATTCTTCACCTTCAAAATAAATTTAAAGGCGATTATAAATACATGGGATAACTTTATAAATGGGTTTTTCCCCGATTACTTTAATTTCTGAAACATCTTCATGTCGTGATGTTCTGCAAATAGCTCTCCAGTTTCTTTAAATTAGGAATTTAGTTTGAGTAGCTTTTGAATTATTCTTTTCATCAACCTCTTTTGGTTAAAAAAGTGAGCGAGGATAACAAAAAAACAATGATGATATGCCAAATTACAGTGTAACGTAATCTTTCCAGTATGTCACAAGGACGTAACTTATGCTCACCCGCCACTTTGAGTACGTGACGCCAGAGTATCGACAAATTAAATCAAAGTGCTCTGTGAGCAAACTCGTGAATTGACACATGATTTTGACACATGATTTTGACACATGATGTTTAATGTTATCTGGTTTAGGGAATTTTGTGGTTGATTGTCGTATCTAGAGTACGAGCGGTAGTTCAGTGTTCGCTAATGTAGCAAAGAAACAAAGTAACGTTGGGATAAGAAGGCATTACAATTGAAATAATCATGCTATTACATTTGACAAGGTGGATGATGTCATGTGTTTTAAACGTCTATCATTTTTGTTTCTGGTTCAACTTTCAACTTTTTCTTGAAAGAAAAGTTTGGAAGTAAATGTGGGTGAAAAGTGAAATTTACTGTCTTTCGTTGTAAATATTAGAAAATCAAGGCAATACTGTCTTAATGAAAACATTAACGATTCCCTCTTTATCAAATCAGACAAACTGGAACGAGTTTTGAGTGATATAACTAAGCCAAGCCTGCCACCGTCATTTTGGATCTCCGCCTGGGTAGATTTAAGTCACGTGCTAGGCAACGTATAATCAATAACAAGATAGAATTTCATTTCAGGCCTATTTATTAATTTTGTGGTGTGTAACTTTCGCATTTTAGTACGTTGTATGTATGTTGAATCTTCAAATTGTCTTGAAACCTAAAAGAAAATTGTTCTTTAAAAATTCACTGAAAATCGGTAGCTAAAATTGTTTGTTTAGGTGTTATCTGATTTTCGTGTTAACTTGTAATTTCGTCAGTCGCCGGCATCTTCTGTTGCTTCACACAGGAAAAACACACGCGACGAAACGTAATGATCAATTTTGTCCTAAATCTCACGCGATAACAGAAAAAGCTTTTGAACATCTGTAAACTTCGAGCGCTTCGCAGTAAGTAATATTTTCAATGAATCTTCGGATTGTTTTCGAGTTCAAGGATTGTAAATTACAATTTTATGAAAAACGAAGGTTGTTCTGTTATTTCAGTGTGAATCCTTGCATGCCTGCCAGTCGCTGGCGCCGCTTGTTGAAACTAAAACGAAAAAAAAACTCTTTTAAGATTATCATTGGCTTCTTTTTCACCCCACCACTATTCTTAGCAACAAAGGTCGCCATTTCTTCTGTTTACTGCTCGCTAAAAACTATCAAATGCACTCAAAAGCCTAAAATCTAAAAAAAGTTTACAGGAATCGACCAATCGAACGAGCGAGCTAGCGAATGCCATTCCCCACATGGTATCTATAACTCGCTCTTGCGCATGCGCGCAATTCACGAGTTAAAAACGATTGTAATTTACTTAGTTCTATCAAAGCCGCTACTTCATCACACTTGTGTCTAGCGGGAAGGAATGTTTTTTCATATATTCTCACGCAACGAAGAGAAGTTCATTAACACTCTTATAAAGCACACGCTGTCATTGACTTGTCAGGTGTGCCACAGACGTGGCACTAAAAAAATCTCTTCATTTTTGGCAATCGTACCACAGTCAATCCATCTTTCTTTCGAAGAGAATTTCCTGAAAACCTGTACGATATTTTAAATTCACCGAGGTGGAGGTGGAGGTTCTATAGTCCTGCAATTCTTCTAATTTAAGGAGGCTAAGGGAGTTAAAGTTATTGAAGTTGTTCAGTGTAAAGAAGTAGTTTATGAATAATCAAAAGAACATCATGATGATACAAAATCTTACCATAGAATTTCGAGCTAAGATTCTAAAAAGACATTTAGTATTGCCTTTTTACGCAGATCTGTACGATTTTCTAATTTTCCTGTGGAAAGCCAAGTTCAGTTGAAAATTACCACAATGTCTTTGGAAAGCGGTATGTTAATTACAAACGTTTAGTTTGCGTCATCTGATTTTTGTTTTTGTTGTTGTTGTTGTTGCTGTTTTCGCTTTTCGCTACACTTGGTTTTTCTTCCCTTTTTCTTTATCCTGTGTTTCTTTGTCTTGTGTTTCTTGTTTTGCTTTCTCTTATTTTCTCTTTAGTTATTCAATAACCTTTTTCACTGGTAAGATCTGAATGTTGATCCCCCGAGCTAGTATCATACCACTCTCTTTATCAGCTATTCGCAAGAGAATATAAACTCTTGCTATAGGTGAGAAATTATTCTTCATATCCATGAAAATGATCTTTTATCTCGCTACTTGTTGAGAATTTACCCACAGATCATTCCACTTAGTCAGAAGGTTAACAGCTGAATCTCTTTTTACTTTCAGCCTGTATCGGTCTCACAGACATGTCTGGAAATGAAGGGTATGCTTTTTCTCATAGTGCGATAGATTTTAAGATTTAAAGATTCTGTCTTAGTCTACACATGACGCTTTTGCCATTGCTGATCTTGGCAGCATTCCCAACGCTTATCACATGCGAACCTACTGCATAGCTTAACCTAATCTTAATCATAGAGTTCTCTTTAATTGTCGTAATTCAGTTGATAGAGAATCCAACATCAAATGGCAAGTTCTGAGGTTCTAATCCTTGTGGTAGACTTGGATCTTTTCTTTGTGCAACAGTTGTGACAAATATCCTCATAACATGACTCATAAATTCAGAAAGGAAACAGTCTCCCCACAAACATTTTTGTGTGCCAATTATGGCCTGACTTTTTATCTCTAGACTCTTTTCTCCCTTAATTCCTCTGTTATTCCCTCAAACCACCTTTTTTTACCAGTACAACCAAGCAACCTCCTAGGTGTGGAACAACGGACTTATTTCATTTTGCATTCCAGGAGTTTTTCTGAAGAAATGTCGTCTAGAAGTGCTGGGTCCATTTCTTTTGACGATCCATTGGATAAAGTCAAACGTTTCGTCATTGAAAAAGGACTTATGGTGAGATTTCTCAGTTTCGCTCTTAAGGAATTACTTCATTATATTTTGCAGCTTTCAAAATGCATACCGGCGCGCAATGGGCCGGTCTTAGTAAGGTCAACCGTGGCTGCTGTTTATTTGATTCCTGAGAAAATATTTTCTACGTGATTAAATTTTTAGCTCGAGGACTGTTTTCAAGATTATGATCCACTGAGAAAAGGACACGTCACAGCCGGAGATTTTAAGGAAGCTCTAAAAAAGTCATTTGGAGGACTTCTCACGGAAGAGCAAGTAGAAGAGATGCAGACCCGGTATCGCATGGTTGATAATCTGGATTGCTACGACTGGCCAAAGTTTCTTCATGATATTGAAAAAGGTAAGGAAGATGGTTTTTTTTTTAGCTGATAAAATTTGCGTATAAGTATAAAATTATATGTAAGTAAGAATCGCAGTTAGTGAATTTTTTAATTTAAGGGCACAATCGATGTTTAAAAGCTTTTTTTCCACTGATGATCTCTCAGAATCGTGAATTGAAAAACGCGCAGCGAGCAGCAGTCAAGGCGATTTTCATTTATTAGATACTGAAAATGGTCACTTTCTCACAATTGAGAACGTCCCGGGTTCACAATTGAAACCATTTTTAACGGTTTGAGAAATGCTCATTGATTTCTTTCGATGGCCCTTTAACTCGGGGCAACCGAAAACAAGTCCAGTGAATAGCAGGCGCTAGGGCTTGAACTCAGGCCACAAGATCACGAGACCAGCGCCCTAACTATTCGGCTACACTGCCTTTATTTTGTCCATGGAGTCCATTTAATAACGTTCAAAAATATGTACGGAATAGACGATCATTATCGTATCAATGCCAGTACGCACCTACCCCTTCCCCAGACCAATTTGTAATCAGTTGACTGTTATTGGCTTAGGGGAGGTGTAAGTACACAGTTGTTCAGCTACTGACACTGATTCCTTTGTCATGAAACTTTAACTTATTTATAGCGAGTTTACGACACTGAAATCCTGTTTTACTTTCTAGATTCAAATCAAACCTCTCCCAAGCCTCATCATAAACCCACGCGGCTTCAAAAGGAAGCTGTGCTGAAGAAAGTTGCCGCTCAGCGGATGAAAGGCAAACAGGATATTACAGATTTACTGGCTCAAGCCTCTCTTCGTGATTCCAATGGGTATATTATGCTTTCTTTTTCTTTTATAGCAAGTTGAGAGGGAGAAAGTAATGTTAAAACCTAGAGAGAACTCACCCAATCCGTGATAAAAAGCGTTGATTTCTTAAACCAGCGCGAGACGGCTGTATACCACAATACGATTTTACGCTCAAGTTTAGCTTTGTCTAGTCTCCTTTTGTTAGCCTGATTTCAAAGGTGCGAGAGCGAGTGCAGAAGGGTAGAACTCTAGAACTCTTTTTTGTCAATAAATCTTCAAAACATCAACAAGATCATCGGTAGTGCATGAACAGTAAACCCTAGAATATGTCATTTTAACTTTCGTCAGCGTCACTATTTTCATGTTCAAATGCAGAGCGTACAAAAGATGAAGGGGTTTCAGCAAAACACGAGCAGTTCGTGCCGAGAACAAAAGAGACTGACTTACTGTTACATAGTTTTAGGTAGTACTCATGAGTACCACCTAAACTACATATTGAGGAGTATCGTGCCGTTTTTCGAAGTGGTATATTGAAAGTGCGGTGAAATCCGTCAAACTAGGATGCAAATACTTCCTGATACTTAAAAGGAAAGTACGATCAACAGTCTTACATCAACCGTTTTTTGAAACTCACCTAAAAATTAGAGAAAAATGACAAAAAATGAGTCCTATAAACGGGAGAAGGATCCATTTAAGTGTTCTGTCCTGGACAAGTATATAATCTCTATTTTCCTTTTTACAAGGAATGAGAAAATTGGCCAAAAAGAGGAAGAAGTTCTTCAGTTTCTTAAGGGGATTGCCGACAGAGAGGATTTGGAGGTAAGATCATTAACATATTCAATAGCTGCTTGTGGGTAGTGCTGAATACAGGGTTTCTTTTCTCAGTTTGGCTAAATAAAGAAACAGTACAGACGAGTCATTTGCGAAAAATAATACATGCCCAATAACACTTTTCTTTTTTTAATATTTTTTCACCTAAACATACCTTGAGAGACCTTAATGTCTTTGTGAAATAAAATCGTTGTTTACTATGCTGATTCATTTCCGTTTTACGATTTTTTTGTTTGGTTGACCTCGATAACGTTGACCGTTCACGAGCTCACCCTAAATTTGATACAGGTGAGCGTGATTGAAACATAGTATCACTGATAATTGAGATTCTAAGACTCCATCCTCTTTGAACCAAAACATCGACACCAGCACTGTAATATGCTTTGTCTGGTTAACAAGTGCTCTTCAACAAGAGATTAGGTTTAGCTATTTCACCTTTCAAGGACACTCAACTCTGTAAATCACTTCCGGTCCTTTTGCCTTGTGCCCAGTTAAGAGGAAAAGCTTAGTTTGAAGCTCCTTTATACTTAGAAGAACTGAATAAATGATTCATAAACATGGATGAGTCAAAGTTCTCTCCGTCAACCAAACCATCTAAAAATTGTCTACGAAGTCGATTTTTCCAGAGCCGTACGTTTAGGGGTGAACCTCCCGCAGGCATGGTTACTCAGCTCTATCCCTGACATCCTGTAATGAGCAGAATTGGTACACAACATAAATTAAACGAGTGGTAATCCACAGATTCATGACTATTGGGTGCTGTTAAAATACTGAAAGGCTAATGCAGAGTGAACCATCAAGTTAGAAAATCAAAGTGATTCACTGCGGTTTTATAGTTTTCCTGAGAAAAGAAACCTCTCCGGCTTGAACACGATCAGAAAAGCTATCACATGGAAAAAAAAAACGAGGAACAAAATCTTGGCCTTTTCTCAGCCTTTTTATGTTTCACCCCAGGTGATTGTTGCTGTCTACGGAGGCGAGACGAGTTTTAAGTGGCAAGAGTTTCTGAAGGATCTCCAGGTAAATATAACTTTAATATAATTTTAAAATTCGCAGAGGAACCTAAAACTTTTGTTCATGTTATCCGAACGTTTTATCAAAGATAGCAAAAAAAAATAATCAGGAATTGAATGTCTCACATTAATTTCGAAAATGATGTCTTTTTAATCGAACAGAAAGTGGAAGATTGTCATAAAAAAGCAAGACCGGCTTCAAGACGAAACAAGGTTTCACCGCAGTCGAATGGATTTACCATCGATATCCCAGATGAAAAAATACTGAAGACCCAAAAAGAGCGCCTATCCTTTCGTCAAACTCGCAAGCGATTTTCCATTTCCTATGAAACACTAGTTTGGATTGTTTTTGTGATTTCAACAGCCCTGTGTGTGATTGATCGCTTTGCGCTCAGAGGGGATATGATTTTAGGAAGAAGTGGAAAGTTCCCGAAGAAGCTTTGGGGAACTCACCTGGGAGAGACCACTACTAACGTTGTGTGGGCCATCACCGCAAGACTGATCATTACTTCTCAAAACTTAATGTTCTACACGATGATGAGTTGCCTCCCGAACTTAATCTGCGAGATCGCTCCAAACTGGATCACGATAGACGGAATCCGTAATGTTCATACAAGAATTCATACTTTTGCTGGAATTTTCCTTTTAGCGATACCTTCCCTGGCTCATGTTCTTATCATTTTTGTTCCGCCCCTAATCGATGGCACTCAACTGAAGTATTATCCACCAAGTACCTTCAACTACAGCGAATATCCTGATCACTTAAACTGGACGAAGTTCTGGGATCCTGCAGCAGTTCAAGGCTGGATTTTTAACGATCACAAGGGAGTTCATCTAACGTCGGACGAGATTTATCGATTCATGCTCGTTATCGTCATATTCTGCTTATTTGTCCCCCTTAGTAGATCGAATTATGCCAATAAAAGAAGCTATTCATTGGCAATGGCCTTGCACGTTTTTGCCGGGATCTGGTACGCCATTGACAACATCCGAAAGATCACCCATGGTCTGTCGCAAGTGGCTAATCTTCCCATTTTAGTTCTCTGGTGCATTGACAAAATTCTCTCCATTTTGTGCTATCGGCGCAACTGCGGCCACATTGTGAGAAGGGAAGTCCTTGGAGACAACGAATACGTAATAATGTACGTAAAACTGGACAGTGACGTTAAACACGCTGTTGGTGATGTTTACTATCTTCTTCACACAAGAAAAGAAAACACCGGAATGCTACCACAGCGGTCTCATCCCTTCACAACTTTTGCAAATATGTCACAAGATTCAACTTGGGACATTGGTTTGGTGATATCAGTAATTGAGGATGACCAGCAGATGTGCCTCCCTTGGACAAAGTGGCTTGCTACCAACGACGAGAACATCACCCTCCATACATGGGGACCCTATCGGTCATCTGTTTGGAAGCTTTATGAACAGATAATTGATGCATCAGATAGAAGTTCGCCTTCACATTTCGTTTTGTTCGCGACTGGATCTGGTTGTGGCTACATCTTAGATGTCCTCAGTTGTTTGGCCAACACATATGAACCGTCACAGCATAAAAGCCAAACTAGTAAACAGATCAAAATCGACATTTTCTACTCAGTCAGATGTAGGGCATTTTACGAATTCCTGCGGGGACCCATCGAAGACCTCCTGCGGAAGATCAAAGAAAAAGACGTTGCTACTATAACGTTTCAATTTTATGTCACTGGTTCAGAAGTGGGAGATGTCGCAGATGACACAACGGAATCGCCAATTCAACTCATCCATGGCCGAATTAACTTCGAGAAAGCTTTGAAGGCTGCCAACAAGAGGTCCCGTTGTTACTTTATCGGAAGGCCTGCGATAGCCGAAGAGGTTTTAGGAATATGCCAAAAGAAAGGAATACAGCTTGTTAAAGATTACACAAACGGGCGTGGAAACCAAGAAGACCGTCGTTTACTTATAAAATACCTTAGGATAAGTTTTTGGGTAATATTTGTCACAACCGCCGTTTGCGTCGCCATAAGTCTTGTGATTGATGTCAAATCAATCAAACACTCACTGGAAATCTTAGCAATGAATAGGACAAATTAGTTGGTCCGTGTATTAGTTAGTTTTACAAACCAGTTACGTCGTTAGTTTTTCATCTTCTAAAGGGAACAGTCGCCATTTATCGCCGAGGGTTGAGGGGGAGGGGGGAGGGGGAGGGGCTGAGGATTTTGATTGTGTCCAGCATTCTATAATCACTTGATTTTCATGAGAAAATTTACCTGCTCCTCCCATAGGCTCTGTGATATTCTCATGATCCTCCTTCACTGACAGTCGATTTTGTTAAGTCCCACCTCTATACTCTGTGGGTGACGATTCCCCCCCCCCCCCATGTTCCCCCTGAAAACAATGGGATGCCCCCTGAAAAATCCTCCAACCCCCCCTTCCTTCCCATCCCCCAGGTAATAAATAATGACAGGTTCCTCACGAGAGGCTCTTTAGGCCATTCTGCTGAGAATTAACGATAAAACCATGAAAATCAAGGTACTTGTCTTGAAAGACTGGTTTAAAAAAATGAAACAGTTAAATATTACAGGTCATTACAAAGTAACATTTCAAAATTTACCCTCAATGTCAAAAACAATTGTGATAAGGAGATTTACGTCAACTATGGAACCCACTTTAGGTCGACTTATTCTTGAAATATGAAGCATAAAACATCGCCAACTGTTTACACGTATCCTTTACAAAAAAATTTTACCTTTGAATGTTTTTTAATGTTATATCGGGAGCAATTCCGAGTCTTTTATGCTATTTTTGCTAGGCCGAGTCACAATGCATCCAACGGTAGAATTCAAATTTTCATTTTTTACAAAATATTTATCGTGCGCTAGCTTATGTTTTTTCTTCTACTATTAGAACGACGTCACTCTTAAGAAGCGTTACATGAGGTAGTACTAAATTAACTTAACATTTTCAAGAGCGAACAGATCCCTCTTTAAATAAGATCCACTTTCCCTAAAATTGTCAGTTTTATGACTGATTTCTGATTGTTCAAAGATTTTCAGAAAATCTTGATTAGTGATAAAAGTTGGGAGCTTTCTTCAAATAAAATATTCTACTTTGAAATTGAACAGTGTGTCGAAGAGAGTGATGTACCCGCCGATAAGTTAACTCTTTAACTCTCATGAGTAACCAAGACAGAATTTCTCCTTACAATATCAATACAATATCAACCAGACAAGAGATATGAATAAGGAAAATATCTATTTGGGATAATTAGTTGATCCAATACTAAGTTCTTTGAACTAATATTATAAGAATTGTATGATTGACAGTAAGGAGAATTACAAATTTGATCTGTGAGTGAAAGGGTTAAACAATTTAAAAAATCATCTGATGGCGAAAAGAACAAAATACGAGTTATTTACCAGCGTCAACAAGGGTCGAACTTCAAAATCTGAGTTACTCGTTACGAATAAACCATCAGTGGGATTTAGTTGGTATCTAAGCCCTTCCAATCTTAACCGACCACCGCACAGATAGGTACACTCTAGTGTACTTGCGTTTAGCATGAATAAAAATTTGTTTAGCGTCATCATGGAAGCCTAGGGCACTGTTGAGAAAATTCAATTTCAGACGCAATGGGTATCTTAGACACTGAGAAAATGGGCTTCTGATGAAAGTATACACAAACCTAAAGTTTACCACAGTTCAACAATTTAATATTTCATAACCTATATCTTAAACAAATATTTCATGAGGCCCTCCACTCACACACTAGTGGTTTTCAGGATGAGCCAGACTGAAACTATAAAACACGACACCCAAAAAATTGGCAGTTTTAGACTGTTTTCAACAATTTTCACACTCTACGCGAGGATCTATTAATCCTGAAGATTTATTCATTCAAAGAACAAGAAAAACGTTTGAAGTGTTCACCATAGACAGAGCCACAGAGTGAAGGCGTTTAGACAAAAGAGTCGAGTGTGAAGATTTATGGTAAAGCAAACATTTTACTTCAGTATGCTTGTTGATACAATTCTGGTTTTCTTGGAAACCCAACTGAAGCCTTCCACTAATATCAGGCACTCAAATAACAAAGACAATTATTGCTGCAATAAAAAAACTATTTCTTGTTCCCTGCTTTTCTATGTTTCAACACTAAAAACCACGCAAGAATCGATCAACTTGGTAGTTCCACCTTCTTTCGGCTACCTCAAGACTTCGAGGAGGTTGTATTACGCGATAAGGAAATATCCCTTTGGGACATGTTATCTCTGTTATAAAGCTAACCAGCCTTGCTTTCTCATGGAGAAGCATTCCTTTCACGATGATGACGATGCCGACGATGATGATGCCGATGACGTGACTTCCGGTTTCTCTCACCGGAAGCGTCGCTATCACTATCACTACTGTGTGAACTATCACTGTTTGTATCTGATTTGTCTTCCTCATCTTGGTGCTTGTTGTGAAGAATGGAATCTCTAGTAGTCTCTCCGTATTCTTTCTTGTCTTCGTCGTGTTTATAGGCGGCATTTGATCCGCCTGTGTGACCTCTCCACTCTTTCCCATCGAAAGACCTGTTTGTTTTGCTATCTTCTTCGTATTCACGAGTGGCACTCCTTGAATTTCGTCTAGAGCTGTTTGAGTGTGATTTTTCATCAAGATTGGCCCCTTTTCTCCTAAAGCGTAAATCGTTTTCATCTTCTTGTTGTTCCTCGCTGTCGCTACTACTGCTCGAATTCTGCTCTCTTTTCTTTTGTTTTTGTATTTGTTTGTGAGAGTCAGTGTCAGGAGAAGTAGCGCTACGTTCTTTAATCTCTCTTTCTTTAAAGCTATTCTTACGTCGGGTTGCTGGCTCGTTATCTTCACTGTCATCATTTTTGCCTTCATCTCTTTCCCGATGTGTTCTTGTTAAGCTACTGTGGTTTGTATGATCAGGAGATGAGTGATTATTTTGTTTTGCTATTTCTTTCGGTGACAATTCCTGGTCTGCCTGAGCCTTTATCTCATGCACTGTCTGGGGAGATCCGGAGTGTCTTCGTGGAGATTTCGAGGTTCGTCGCGGAGAGTTCGACCTTCTTCGTGGAGACTTAAATCTCCTTCGCGAAGACCGAGGAGAATTGGAGCGATGACTGACTCTTCCACGTGGAGATCTTGATCGGCCTCGCGGAGACCTTGAGCGTCGGCGTGGAGATTTAGCACGTCTTGGTGGAGACCTTGATCGCCTTTGAAGGAAACGATTGCGTGGTGGGGTGATTCGTGTCACGCTACTATGAGATTCATTGGAGGGTGGAGGAGTGCGATATCGCTAAAAAAAAATGAAAAGAAAATTAAATTAAATATTAAATGTACCTGTAAGAACTAAACGGTAGATAAAAGAAATAAGTTATAGACTCCGACATTTTTTCCTTTGCAGCGTCCATGTGCAGCACAAAATGTCGCTTCCCTTTAACCCTTGGCGAGACAAACAACAATACCATTGCATATTACTCCTTACCATATTTCCTCTTCCTCGAAGAATCCTTCCAGACTGGGAAACCTACATAGAAATTATGATTTACTCGTCAAAAATGGCGCTAAAGTTAAGTAGCTTCTCGCAGTTGCCAAAAAAATTAAACCTTATATTCTTATATGCAAAATCAAGTATAACCTGATTGCCATAAGAAAAGGTAGCCTTCGTGTAGCCGTACCTTCCCCCACCCAGGGTGAAACGGTAGCGAAGGAGTTCCCTAACCTCTGTTTCACCTTGGAGGGGGGAAGGTACGGCTACACGTAAGCTAGGGGAAAAGCAACGTATTTCCCGTTTGAAATCATAACGCAATATACTACGTAACAACTTGATCACATTTACACTCTCTCTCCTTAGGACATAACAGTTCCTATTGAATATACTTTCGCAAACATATATATATGAAAATCTGTTAACCCCTTAAGTAAAGAGATCTAAAATTAAATTCTCCCAGCCAAAAGCCATACTTGGCTGTGGTACTTTGTCCTAGGAATTCAGCACAACAGAATTCCCAAATGACATTCTCCTTAATTCTCATTATCCTTTCACTCAAATACGTTTTAAAAATCGTACGGAGAATTCACCAACTGATCACTTCTGAGAATCAAAGGTTGACTGATATCCAACAAACAGTATTATTTTGGTAAAATCACGACCACATAACAAACAAGAGTGAGAGTCGAGCGTTAGAAAGGACACTTCAAAATTGATAGAGATATACTCAAGATAACTGAGACAGAATCACATGCCAGAAAGGAGAGTTTTGGCGTGATGAGACGATACAAACGAATCCGCATAATCATTATCATTAAGCTTTGGCCTGAGCGTCTTTAAGCTAATTTCAATTTCCTCACTTCGCCATTTTGGATAGCAAAATCAAACAGTGTAACCTTTGACAGCATAAACTGGCCCCATTAGGATACACTGATTGCTGTGATACCTACCCTGCTCTTGCGGAAGGACATTTTTTCTGTTGTAGGAGACTTGCTTCTTCTAAAATGATGGATGACAGTTGTTAAGTGAGATAGTAAATTGTGTTACAAGTGGTCTGATGCTGAGCTGTATCAGTAACATGTAAATTTTAATTTATCACTAACGCATCCCAAAGTACAGGCTCCATCATCTGAGTTTCTCAGGCAAGTGGAGGAATGCGTGAGGACAGTGCGGACAGAGCCCGAAGAACGAGTCACGCGCGGGAGGAGGAGCGCGAAAAGAGAATACCCTGAAAGCATTCTCCTACTAGCACTGCGGGAGGTCTGTAAGGAGTCTGGGAACCCTCGTGGACCTCTCGTGCGCCCACATCGCCCGCTGACTTGAATTGCGCGGGCTTCGCTGCTCATGTGACAGCACCAACGAGAGCCTGCATGTGACTTCGAAAAAATAAAACGTGGTAATTAATATAGCCAACCTTTCTTTCCCTTCTGTAATCCTCTTTTCTCTGACAGGACTGGGAGTGCGGCTTCTTCTAAACAGGAACGAGTTGTTAGGGACATCTGGGATCTCATCAGCAGCTACTGTACTAAAAGGCTCTGGGCTCTTCTGTGATTTCTCGTTATCTGAGCTATTAAATGAATCAAGCATGCATGGCAAATTGCATCCAGTCCATTTTTAGTTTTTAAAAAATAACAATATAATAATAATAATTTATAAATTCCAGAGAAACACTATAGGCGGGGGAAACGTTAGTATGGTATTGGAGAAAGAAAGAGGCGATGGCTGGCCAGGCAGAATATTATTTCCTTAAACGTGAGCTATAAAGACAAGGGAACAAGCGTCCATTACAAGGCTTTTGACCAGGATTAAGCTTTAAGAGTAGATTATACAAGCTTCTATACTCCTATATTGTTTGCATGAAGCATATTATGAAAAATCTTATGTCTCAAGGTGCAATGCACTCTGCACTAAAAACAAAATTGCAAATAGAAACTTTAGTTAACTTACCCATCTTTCATTTTCTTCATTTTCTTGTCCTTTGCCTTATTTTTCTTCCCCTTTCTTTTGGTAGAATCTTTCCGCTTTTCTGTCTTTTTCCTCTTTGACCGCTTTTTCTTTCTTTTCTCATCAGAAGAGGACTCACTCTCTGAATCAGCATCAGACTCTGAACTGGACTCCGTGGCTGTGCTGGACTCTTCCTTTTTTTTCTTCTTTTTCTTCTCAGCTTTTTTAGCCATGGCTTAAAATTAAGTGAAAAAAAACTTGTAATAAAAAGATAGGATAATGAATAGAAGTCAATAAATTTGCAAGAATGGAGCCTGGCTGGGTATTACCCAATGTGACCTAAACTACACCAATTCTGCTCAGGGAAACCATAAGGGCACATTCTGGTTTACTTAGATTGATATAAACAGGGCTAGATTAGTTGAAATTGGATCACTACGTTGCTGTTACTGCTACTTTACAGGGTTTGATCCAGTTAGTCCTTCTCTCAGAGGGTGGGTCCATAACAGGATAGCACCATCTCCCCTCTCAATCATTTCATATTCACATAAAAAAGTAAACAACTTTTGTAAAAAGATATTAAAAAGTTTTTGATTTTTTTTGGAAGACTCATTAAACCCACTTAAATCTTAAACAATACACTACATGTACTATGCTTATAATCAATATTTTTTCCATCAATATTTTTCTTTATACCTTAATGTACATATTCAGAGAAGAACACCTGCCTACCCTTATACTCTGACACTAAATCATCCCAGCCACCCTTAAATTTTGCATTTTTCCAAAAAATGAAAATGAAAATTAGAGGCAAATAAGAGGATGCTTCCATACCTTTAGCCTTTGCTTTTGGAATAAGCTCTCCACAGTTGCTGATTTTGACGTCAACTAAGGGACGACTTTTGTCATCAACTTTTTGATTCTCAATTTCTGATACAACGTCCTGTCCTTGAAGCACATGGCCAAATACCACATGGATCCTGCAAGTTTTCAACCAAAGATTGAAAGATGCCAGCACTAATTGCATAATTATTAAACTATGAATTTAGCTTTGGAAAGTTCGTTTTTGTTTTGTTTTGTTTTTTTTCTTTTTGTCATCAGCCAAGTGTCAGGCCTGTACTTTAAATTACAGGTGTACAGACTGGTTTTTTTAAACACTAATTACATGTAACTCCTAAAGTGAAAGACCACAGTGGAGTACTTCCATGCAATATCAACACATTTTCAAGCAGGAAGGCAAAAAGAAATAAAATCATCAAAAACAGAATTTTGTGCCAGAAAAGTAGGCATATTCTTCATTTTGACTGATTATGAACCACACATCTAGAAGAATTAAGATAATGGTCCAGTACATACAGATACAGTAGACTATACTGTATATACATGTATACAACTATGTTGGCACCTACAGGGTAATCAACAAATGACTTAAACACTTACCCATCGAGATGAGGAGTGGGTTGGGTTGTTCTGTGGGGTAAGAAAGGAACACACATCAATTTATGTGTACTTGGCATCACTGTTATTGAATTAAAAGTTAAAATAGCGTAATTCCATTCTGACAGATTCATATTTTAGAGTTAAACTAATGAATACCTACATGTAGGTACATGTAGAATAAACACATATGGATCTGAAATAATTTTTTGAGGCAATTTTCAATTGCTTATCAATAGTAATCCACAAGTGTGATTGCTATTTTTTTTCTTTTAGTTTGCTTTGAGATTGCTTTATAAAATTACACAACCTAGCCTCTTGGTAGATCAAATGCCAGAAACTACACTGATGCTACTACAACAACAGAATGGTCACCAAAGGTTTGTCAAGCAAAAATTTCAGGCTTTTCCCTCAATATCTTTTAATTGAGTTCTCACAAGCTGTTCTGTGAATTGTACAATACTCCATCTCCTTTACCAGCTGAATCACAGAGGACAGAACTGCTTTTCATTGTAGTTTAGAAAGCATTCTTTAAAATAGTTTTGGGCCACTGTAAGAGTGCATTGGGAAACACTTCCCTGTGCTTGTTTGTTTGTTTGCTTGTTTTTTGTTGTTTTTTTTTAATATCTTTTGGCAAACTGACGAGTTTTGACAACAATAACTTAATTCTTGAAAAAATGAAAGATACCAAAACCAGCCACAAAAAAAATACTTTGCAAGAATTAAGTTGTAGACCACATGAAAAAATAAAATGAAAATTGTGAAAACTGAGTAAAAAGAGCCTAACATCTCATGATCAAGCCCCTTTTCCATTCAACTGGCTGTTATTAAACATAATTATCATGCTAAAAAGAGCTTCAAAGTTAAATAACTTAATATTTCTTCTAGTACTCACATGAAGAATTGTGATCCATTGGTATTAGGGCCCCTGTTAGCCATTGATAGCAACATTGCCCTATCATGCTTAGCATGAAAAGATTCATCTGCCACACCCAAAAAGGAAAGAAATTTATATTAGAATCTCACCATAGAGATTTTGAGCTTTTATACTTGCTGTCTTGACCTGAATAGTTCTTGGCAAAAAAGTTCAATGAAAAATATTTTACCAGAGATCAAATGCACTTTTAATCACTAATCCATGATTATGACTGGTCTTAAAATAAATCCACTGTACATGTCATTCGGCAGCAGATCACAGACCCAGCAAAAACTTTGAGAGTTGCTTATTGTTCTCTTCCTGAAATTAATCATTTGTTCTGACAAATCAGGCAACACTTTTAAAATCTTTTGATTCCCAGGAGTGACCAAAATGAACTTATCCAAACAACATCAAAACAGTTTTAAGCAGCAAGAAGATGAGAAGCTGGGAAAATATTAAGAAGGGGATGTTTTTTGACTTGATGTAAAAAGTGCTCAGAGCTTGTGTTTGTTGTATACAATGTACATGTGCACTAACCATTAAACATTCCTCCATAAATAGATTCTCCTCCTGTTCCATTCCCTGTGAGGAAAATTTTCACTGAGTTACAGTTGTACAAAATGAAAAAAACAGTGTAACCAAATTGATTGTTCCAACTGCAAAATGGCTACTTTTTGTTTTAATCATTAATTAAGTTAATAGAAACAGTGTATTTAAATATTTCCATGATTCAATGACAATTAAGCAGTAGAGTTTTTCAGTGTCACCATGACAATACATGTACAAAGACCATACTGCATGTATGTTTCTGAACCCACCTTTGGTGAAATCTCCTCCTTGGACCATAAAATTCTTAATAACACGGTGAAATGGCGACCCTTTGTAATGCAAAGTTTTTCCTGAAACCTTGCTTAGCCCATTTTCTCCTAGAAATAACAAGTTTTTTTTAATCATATCTAATGCATAAACAATAAGAAGATGTGCCTAATCCTTTACACCCTTAAAGAGGTAGGCATCTAATTTCCCTCTAAAGTATCATCCCTTAAATCAACTCTAAAGGTCATGAGAATAAAAGAAATGATTGTGAACTCAAGAAACTCTTGATTGTTAGATAAATTCTCCTTATGAGTAATAAAGGAAGTGTAAAGAGAACAGTATAGAGAACTTGCATACTGATTTTGGGGTGTAAATAGTTAAAATTCATAGATGTTGAAAGCAAATAAAATACAATAATACATGTAACTTAAGCTGAATTGGTAAACTGTACCAGGCAATCGGAAATGCTAAGTCTAGCTACATTGTAAATACTTTATGCATGGAACAGAAAAAGACCCAAGACTGAGGTGGCTTATTTCTGTTGACTCTCAGATATGTTCAAAATTAACAAGTATCAAATTTTCCTAATGATTTGAATATATCATCTGCCACATGGATAATGATTGCAGAGAAAAAATATTGCCAAAAGTTTGTTCATTTAATATAAAACCAATTCCACCTAAATTATTTTAACAGCTCAGTGAACTTGCAGATTAAGGATTTTGTTTCAAATAACAACAAATTCTCAGTGCTTTAACCCATTCAGTCCCAAGATCTTATTTGTATTTCTCCTTACTGTTTTCCATGTACAATTCTTGTGATATGAGTTTAGAGAATTTACTATTGGATCGACGAACAATCCCCTAATTGATATTTTTCTTTATTCTCTTCACTTGCCTGCTTGACAGAATGTTGGTACAGTAAGGAGAAATTCTGTCTTGGTCATTCATGAGAGTTAAAGGATTAAGTTCATGATTATCATAACATTATTATTCTTTCATTTGCATGCAAATAAGCTTTCTTGGCCTCACTTTTGAGTGAAAATACAATTGTTTTTAGACATGTGGTCAAGGCCAGGAAGGCTACCTGGCATAAATATAAAAGAGAGTTATTAGGTGATTTATAAATGTGGTTTATAGTAGACAGTCTTTAAATCAGTTTTCATGAAGACTTCATGAAGACTGATTGGAAACAAGTTCCTATGAATGTCACAACAAATATATTGTCATTCTTAGCTTACTGTAACTGAGTGTTTCTCTCACCTGTACATAATGCTCTAAAATTATCACAAGTTTTTGGGCAAATATCAGCAAACAGTTCAAAAATAACCCTGCCAACTGGTAAGAAAAAAAAAGCTTTATTTAATAGATCTAATACATAGAGATAATAGTATACTACATGTAAGCCCTAGTATACTAAATGTAAGCCTTATCAATTTCTTCAAAAGTTTTAGATAATGCATTGAAATACCATTGGCTGACAATGAAAACGTTGGCCAAATTTTCATCAAGATATACATGTGAAATCCAAGTTAACTTTTTCAATTCTTAGGAGACACAATTCTAGTGTTTTCTTGGTTTGCAGCTGTTGAATCTCAATCATGCTCTTCAGTACCTTCTTAAGGTAATTTTACACATTACAGGAAACTGCTAAAAACACCTAGCAAAGTTTCGATAAACTCTCATGAGTGTAATAATTGACACCTCCACGATTTTTTTCCACCTTAGACATTGACCAATAAGCAAAAAATTAATCAAATGGGCTAACTAAAGTTCCCAACAAACAGCAAGGTTTCCACATTTTTGAGTGATATGTTGAAGGCTACTGAAAAAATGGTGTAAGAAGCAGGTTTGTGCTCCTCCCCCAGAGTCACCTATAGAGGAGTCTGTTCGTGTGTTAAAATAATTTAACAGGTATAGCTTCCTGCGATCATCAAAAGTATCAGGTAAGTGATGGATGTTTTCGTTGAAGACAGTGCTTACAGCCAAAATCTACCACTCTTACAAAAAAATAGCTAGCAAACAACACTAAAGGCTTAATTTGACTTGTACTTAACAAGTAGTATTTCTGTTACCTTGCGAGCCGTTAATTTCTACATCAAAAAAGCATCTAGGACGATAGCCTTTCGCCTTAGGAACCGCCATCTTGAATTTCTTTACAACCCAAATAGGTGTCTGGGATACTCTATTCTAGTGAATGACCACTGAATAAAACACTGCAGGCCTGTGAAAACAAAATGGCAGTCGCGCTGATCACGAGAGGAGGGTTGTGTTTTAAATTTACCCAATGACTGCACCATGTAAACACAAAAAAGATAATTAGGGCCATCAGGACATTTTTGTAAGCTTAAAGTGAAGATGGCGCACGTTACTGTGGACTGGATCCCCCTTGGAAAGGTGTATTACAGGTGAGGTTTTTTCCAATTGTATACTTTCGAGCTCTCTTTAATCATTTCGATTCTTGACCCTACGATTTTTAAGCGTAACGGATATATTTTTGTGGTACGTAAAATAATAGCAAAAAATGGCTTATTTCAATGGGAAACCTCATGAAACGAAATATAACGGAATGATAATTGTACGATCTAAGAGAGGGGTGGGGGGGGGGGGATCCTGCGTACGCTTCACGCATATCAAAAAGTAGAAACAACGCATCTCGAAAAATCGCAGTAACAATTTTGTTTCCTTTATATTTTTGTCTGTAGAAAAATTGAGTTATATAGCATGGCCTGGCAAGAAGCTGTGGATCTTTCTAAGTTTACAATAAGTGCTGCTCCATTTGGGGGTCCAATAGGTAGGTGAAAATTTCTTTCATTTAATGGTTATTTCTGATAATTCCTTGCTTAGTTTCCTTCTGTCATTTCTCTGATGATGGCCAATTACTTGTCTGGTATATAAGATCATTGTTATCTGAGAAGTGACAGGCTGAGCAAGTTTAGTGTAAATTTTACTCTGTATGAGTGTATGACATAGTAGCCTAATGGTCAGTGGGCTGGACTGTGGGTTAAAAGGTCCAGGGGCCTGTTTTGCAATGGTCCCAATAACTTGATGGGTCCACAAAGCTATTTTAATTTTTGGTCCATGTGGGGGTTCCAAAGGTTTTTAAATCAGTGCAAAAAAATATCGGTTAAAGAAACAGAAGGGACTGGTAAAGGTGCCAGGAACTGCCTCTCTATTCTTTAAATTTCAATTTTAATATATGGTTTTGGCCTGTTAAGTTACAAGGACTTTCACAAAATGGGCCTCAGGTAAGAGACCTGGCCAGGTCATTGTGGTGTATTCTTTAAGGCAAAACACTCTACTTCCACAGTGTCTCTCTTGCCTTAGAGCTTAAACGGGTACAGGTAAATTTTCAGGGAAGCCTGATGAAGTGCTGGGGGGATAACCTTGTGATGGACTGACATCCCACCAGAAATGGGGGAGTGGGGAGTAGTAATGCTCCTTGTCACTTCAAGCCATGGAAACCAGGTTAAGCTCTGGCTGGATGGGTCACTTGGCTGAAGAACAGACTTAACCCTTTAACTCTCATGATCTCATTAGTAATTCTCCTTACTCTCTGCCAAATGATTCTCATTATGTTAGTTTGGAGAATTTGGTATTGGATCAATTATTAATCCCATAATTGATATTTTTCTGTATTCTCATCACTTGTCTGCATGATATCATACAGATATAGTAAGGAGAAATTCTGTCTTGGTAACTCATGGGAGTTAAGGGTTAACATACCCTCTTTCCTATATGTACTCAGCTCACTTGCTTGCCAGTTATCTTTTACAGTACTGAAGATCTCAGTGTCTATCGTAATTCCAAACAAGGGAATGATCACAGGCTAAGTTAAAAGTAAAATGAAGAATTTCATGAAGAGGGAACTCAATACTAATTTTCATGTTGCATTAAACACTTGCAGCTCTGGTGAGAGATGATAAACATTTTGTACGAGTCCATGGATCATCTATTAACAAGCCAGTTATTCATATTTTTTCCTCTGCTGGAAAGGAACTTGCCTCTGTCAAGGTAACCTCAAGCTCAAGTTTGTATCTAGTTATGATTTAAATTGATTCCTTATTTCACCATTTAAGTCATTTAAAAACTACTCTCCTCCATTTAAAGCTCCAAAGCATAACAGTGCCACCAAATTCAGTAATATAATTTTTTTCTTCTGTGGAAAAACTGCTTCAAATCGTAATTCTTATAACATTAACCTCTCAACTCTCAAGATCTGTTATTATTATTAATATCGACAATAACTAATTCCAATTCTTCCATCTAGCTGTTACAAATTTCCTTGAAAATTAGTTTAGAGAATTTGGCATTGGATCAAAGAAACTCCTCCCTAATAAGTTTGAATATTATCATAACCTGTTTGCTGGACAATGTGTATAGTATTAAAATGGAAATTAACATGTTAATTTTTTCCGAGATTGAAAGAGTTAACCCTTTAACTCCCAGATTAAATTTGTAATTCTCCTTACTGTCAACTATACAATTCTTATAATGTTAATTCAAAGAATTTAGTATTGGATCAGCTAATTATCCCTAACTTGATATATTTCTTTATTCTCATCACTTATGTGGTTGATATTGTATTGATATTGTAAGGAGAAATTCTGTCTTGGTCACTTCTGAGATTGAAAGAGTTTAAGAAGTTTCCTTCCTTACCTGAGCTTGCTAGGGTAAAGAGGGAAACTTCTGACAAATCTGATAGATTAGACTCCTTCTGACCCATTGTTAGTATAATTTATACATGGAAACATTTTTGTTTGCTAGTCTAAAGGCAAGAATCTTGAACTAGTTTACAGTAACTCAAAGAATTTTTCCTTTTTCCCTTTATTTTATAAAAATGCATGGCTTTTATTAACAAGGTTGAAAGTAGGAATGTCGTTTGGGTTAATTTAGAGTCCCCTCTTTTTTACATATGTTGTGGTTTATAAAAGATGTGTCTGTAAAGAAAAGTTTTTATGCAATAAGTTTTTTCCTTTTTCTCAAAGCTGATGTATTATCTTCATGATATCGTGTTTTATTCTCCTTAGTGGGATGCAGGCTCAATTGTTCAGATGGGTTGGTCTGTTACTGAAGATCTTCTGTGTGTAGCTGATGATGGCACTGTCTTGGTTTATGACATTCATGGTGCCATCAAGAAAACTTTAACCATGGGACAGGTTGGAAATATGAAAATGATTTTTGTCTCAACTACAGTGGTGTACATTTTTAGTATACAGTGTACATATAGTATTACATGTACCTTTCACAACCACTTTAAATAATTTCTTTGAATCCATGGGCCTTTTGGTTTAAGAATCTTGAAATCTGGTTTTTATGTGTATATTTTTCTAAAAAAATTTGGAATGACTAAATTTCCTGATTGATTCTTAGGATATCAGAATTCACCTCACCAAATTGCTTACAGTACTTTCTTTTTTTTAGGATGCCAAGGAATCAAAGGTTATTGATTGTAAAATTTATAGCTTTGCTGGACGGACAGGTATAGCAGTACTGACTGGTAGCTACCACTTTTATGTGGCCAACAATGTGGAAGAGGTACGAAGTCGACGGTTTTTTGACCCCCCAGGTAATAAATTTTACCTATCATGTTACTGCCATTTGAGTGTGTAATTGTGCAAACTTATCATCCAGGGCCAGGTTGTTCAAAGTTGGGTTAAGATAACCTAGGGTTAGTGTGAAATCTGATTTTAGATTTGGAAGCTTTAAAAGAAAATTCAATACCTTTCCTTTTGGCCACAGTTTGATGATTGGATGTCCTAAAAGGAACAGAAGAAATTATCTGAAAAAGACTTTCAAACAAAGGAAAAAAGAAATCCAGATTGAAATATAACACTAGCTTAGCACTAATTAGATTCAAACAACCGGGCACTGCCTTGTCAATAGGCGGGTACCCTGTAAAGAGCCAAAAGCCCAAACCTCTACAGAGGTCTGAGGGCATGTGCCTCCAGGAAATTTTTAAAACATAAGTCTCCCAGAAGCACATTTTCCTGCAATCTGGAAAAGGAATCTTCTTGCAATGACACATACTCATTCTAATCATAGTAAAAAGAAATGATACTCTGGGAGAATTTGTTTATTTCACTACACAGCTATAACTACATCGAAACACTGCTGTAGTTCTCAGAGCCTCCTTTTTTCTTACAGTTACAAGCTAACTCAAACTTATAAACTGATGAAAAGTGAAACTGACAAATTTTCACCACCAGTACAGGCCGAAGCAGATTTTCACATTTGAAATTTTTGATATGTTAATGCTTTTGAATGCATTTCCTGGCTTTATCTTGAATGAAAATTGAATTGGAAAAAAGTTTTTTTCCAGTTTCCTTCACTTCATCAGAATATTTAAGCTTTGAAAGCCAACAAAATGTTGGCTTATTGAGACACACATGTCAGTTGATGAGCATCTTTTACAGCAACATTGGTCTCTTGTAGTGTATTTTATTAAGTGTTTTATGAACAGTTTAAATAATTGAAAGTACAGAAAGGATATATAATTTTTAAAAAATCATTTCACTGACTGTAATCTAATTAAAAACTGGAAAACATAAATTTAATTTTTATTGCTCTTGACCTTTCATATGCAAATGATGCTTGCGTGTTTCGCTCCAATGAATGTGTAATTAATGTAAGTGTAAAAATGCTCAAAACTAACCTTTTGACTTCTTCTATGCAAATGACAAAAAAGAATTCAGGACTTGAGTTTTTCTTTTGCTTGCTATGCTGACACAAAGGAATGCATTTGCTTTTAATCGTTTCGCATGTCACATGCAAGAGTTATGTAAAAGTTAATCAGGCACTTTAAAATGATAAGAATGCAATTATCACGCTGCACCTTCTTGTCAAAGTAAATTTTATTTCCACAATCTGATGGCAAGTTAATGAAAACTTTGTGCAGAAAAAAATTTAAGCTCACAGGCAAAAGTTAATATTTCATTGAGGTTGATATTTTTTTCTCAAAACTCTGTTCATAATAGATGGGTGCCGGTGCCTGGGACCCAGCTTCTAATAAAAACCCTGATTTTCTAAAGTTGCCATTTGGCAACCTAAAATTGCAGAATGGTAAAAAGCCAGACAAAAAAGTTTCTCTTCTCTGAAGGAAAAAGGAAAAAAGAAAAGATAGAAAAGGATGTCTACTTGCAATAT